CAAAGCTGCTTGCAACTTCTACCCTGATAAGTTAGAAAGTTAGGACAAACAAAAAAGGCCCTACCCCCACCCGTCGATATGGCAAATTGCCTAGGCCCTCCCTTCCCCAATATTTTAGCAGACAAACTGTTCACCTTTTCACCCCGTTTCTCGTTTTATATGAATATTTGGGTTATATGAATATTTAGGGAGAGAGAGTACGAGCCAGAGAGGAAAGCAGTAAGATTATATATATTTTTTTTTTTGAGTAATGTTATTCACATCATGTTTTTGTACCATATTTTTATATCCTCTTAGCTGACATTTGATATGGATAGCCACATCATTTGAATTAATTAGATTTTTAAATTTACTTCATTATTTAATAAACTAATAATTAAGAAAAACTAGTTAATTAAATAATGATTGCGGTATAGGAAGTCTTTTTCCTTCATTTCCTTGGGTTTTGCAATTTTTTCAAATGATGTGGCTGTCCACATCAGATGTCATCTAAGGTGGTATAGAAATATGATATAAAAATATGATATGAATAACATTATTCTTTTTTGAATTTAAAACGTAATGATTATTTTATATCATATTGTTTTGGACCTCAGGTTTAAAGGACTTGGGTGCATTCTGTTGCGCATTGTGTCTTTTATTTATTTATTTTTCTAGAAGGAAATAATGTTTTGTGACAAAAAAGGTTGGTGTTTCAAAATTTGAATCACAAAAAAGGGTTAGGTGTGAAATGGTCCAATAGAGAATGTACTAGGAGACCACTTTAATTAGTAAACTAGGGCCACGTGGGACGAATTTGAAGCAACAACATCATATTCCTTTGATCCCCACCGTCATAATATCATGCTCAACTATAACAAGTATCAAAATCATAAGCATGCATACAATGTTGTTTTTTTTTTTTTTTAGAAAATATATAAATTAATTAAAAAAAATGATTAGAAATAGAAAGGGAAAGAGAGTTGGGTAAAGTGTGCGGAAAGAATCTCTCGCACATTTGAACGTGGACAACGAAACAAATCTTTCACTAAACATTAATTTTGTTACATTATTTTAATTATCACGATAAAGCTTACAACTTCATCTTTGGAAACCCCAAATTACCAGCCTACATTGCGCTTGATTTAGATTTAACTAAACTTATATGTATTTGCCCAACCTTAACTTTGTACGTCCTTTTAGTTAAGCGACGAGCAATGGCTTTTACATATGGAGCCCAACGATCTTCTCTCTTTGTGCGTGTGTTAGACAAATCTGTCCATAATTATATGATTCTTAATCTTGTGAGGATCCATGGAGAAATACTATGTTAAATAGTTGACATGTTATGCTGCTAATATCATAATTAAAGATCGTTGATTATGAAGAATTACCGACTGAATATGCATACACTTCCATCGATATAATATGCGAGTACGGGAAGAATTGGTTTCGCGTAGAAAAGTAATTATGAAATCTCGCAAGACTTATAAGGACTAGGTTTATTCTCCGTATTATTGCTAATTAGGTTTGGGATTGAGACCTCGTCTGCTTTCATCGTATACTAGATATTTTTTGTTGGACAGATGATGTTGTTTGTATTTGACCTAATCCAACAATAGTAATTTATAAGTGAACAACATAACATAACTATTAGATTGTCGGAGAGTATAAAAAGACAAGGGTAATGTTTCCTAACCTACGTTCTTCTGACAAACAATACTGGTGAGAAAAGTTGATAATTATAGGTGGAATATATAAGGAGGCACGCGCATAGCATCAATTTTTAAGCTCCTTTTGACTTCTTTCATTCGAAACTGGGCAAGCGGCTAACTTAGTAATCACTACTGCTACTACTTCTAGAGGAGATCGAAGCATAAAGAAACAAAGTACAACACAATTTAAAATTGAGGGAGGACAAATGGATAATTAATTATTGAAAAGCGATCAAGGGGTTTGATTAAGGACTTGGACACGTGAAGAATGTCGGCGACAATGTGGGTATCTATATATATATGCAATTGCCAAGTGTGAAGAAGAAAAATTCTCCGCCGTAACAACAACGGACTTGGATATTGTATGATATTTATGGACGGCAAGTATCAAGGTTTTGACTTCATGGGACTAAGTGTTTTGTTTTAATATGTGCATATTTATGTTCTTTGTTTGCTCACAACATTGTTCCGGAAATTGTGGTGTAAATCAGCATATGTAGTATCATAATTCATGGACAATGCATAGTGATTGTTCCTTACATTTCTCATCTATCTACGTACTATTAGCAATAGCATAGATTAATTAACCAAAACAATATATATTCTTGTAATACGACATGTTATGCTGTCTTGTTATATATGCATGATATATTGTTTGATTTTGAGTTATAGTCTCCCTTCTTTTATGTATGGTGAAAACAACTACCAATCAACCTGTAAGTCGTAATCAGTTTGATTGATTTAGGCCAAATAACAAAAACCGAAACAAGAAATGCAAGAGGATTTATTTGGCCATATCCGATCGATATTGTCTACCACCTTCGATTGATCACCTTGATGCCAGAACTCTTCAAACACTTCTTCTCTGCTTCTATCTGATCCATCCCCACATCCAAATTCATATCCAACACTCTAATTTTGATACATAAATATCACAACACACACACACAGACACACACTCTACTGGTTTTTGGTTGATTACCTCTAATTCTTAGCATGGTACGAAAGCAAGCTATCAACGTGATTACTCTAATTCTTACCATGCACTTTTACTTTAATCGATATCAATTATCCATGTGTAAACGCGGTTGAAAAGTACGTATAGAAATGTAAACCCTCCATCCGTTGTCATGATGATGTTGGAGTCACGTCATTAGGTAAGATCTGGTATTCCTTTTTACCCATTCAACAAACGTACTACGATCGATTTTGGTTAAGAAAAGGGAGAGCAACTCAATGTTTCATCAATATGTAAAACTGGGAAAATAACAGTAAATTAGATTTGCCCTTGATTTTTATACGAAGATACTGTGTGTAAGTTTGTAACATGCAGGCGTAGGACTCGCATATACCCTCTGATCTAAATTGTTGTGTTCATGTATATATCCCGCAGTATCTGATCACATGTTGAAATTTTTGGCTTCTGTCATCAAACCCTATATCATTAGAGATTTTTCAATGTGATTAGAACATGGTAATACATTACGTATCATTATATAAATGATGAGATATATATGTTAAAAAGTTAATAAATTAAAAAATAAAAAATTTCTCACTATTTATATAAAAACACGTGGTATACTATCCGTATTTCAATCATAACCAAAACCATCCCATCCCAAGTTGCTCTAAAAAAGTGTCATCATTACAAACCCTCGATTATTAATTTACCAGACCAAAACTGGTCTCTTCGCGCAATAATTACATCCAGTACCACTGCATGCAGCCTTTTTACTCCATACAAAGTCACTGTGCCAATCATATTCAGTGTTAGTGCATATGAATCATGCATGCACGTACGGTCCTAATTCTCTACCATAAGAATAAGTGCTATGATACAAGGGATGGAGTCTTCTGATCCTCCATATTATCTGTTGCATCAAATTATCTACCTGTTTTTTGCCATCATGTGACGAAGCTAACGTATAACAAGAAAAATAGACATAATTGTATACAAAAGGTAATATAAAAAAATATATTTGCACAAGGATGTTCACGTGCATTTAAGAAAACATGAAAATTTTTTTCCCTCGTAATCTCTTTCCTTCCTTCCTCTCTTACTTGAACGGTTATAGTTAAACCACGTCAATATCTTATATTAATTTTTTTTAGAGACAAAATATGAGAGAAGAGGAGGGAAGAGGAGAGAAGATGATGGAGATAGAAGAGGAAAAAATCCTACTCCTTTAAGAAAATCAATTTCACTTTGTTTATTCGGCTCTCAGTTTAAATCCTCCCTCTTTCCAAGAATGAATCTTATTAGTTGGTTGTTACTTTGCATACTAAGACACATGATGTGAGTGATATTTTTTTCAAAAAAGAAAACAAAATATTAAAAATAGGAACAAAAGAACAAAAAATTTGAATTATATAACGGAAGGGTAAAATGTTAACATTTGTCTCTCATGCACACTAAGTACGCAAAAAGTTGTCAGTCATTGTTTCTGTTGAACTGTTAAAATCACCCCATTTCCATGAACGAATCTTACTAGTTGATTGATATTGTACATACAAAAAAACGTGAGGTGAGTGATTTTTTCGTTTAAATAGGAAATAAAACAGTTAAATTAGAAATTAAAAAAAAAACAACAATTTTGAATTCTACATTAATAGAAGGGTAAAGTACTAATCTTTGTCCTCCCACGCATGCCAATTACGCAAAAGTGAAAGTCAACCATTGTTACCGTTGGTTGTTCACACTAAATATGCTATTATTACCGTTAGTTCAGCAGTGAATTCCATATATATAACTATATAACTGATGGAAGCAAAACTCTTAATCTTAACATTAAAATTTATAATGACATATACTTGCTACATTGTCTAACATAAATGAGTGACCATCGAGCAACATGTCAGTGTCCAAATCACACAATAATGAGAGAGATATCATCCTGAAATCTATGGGGGGAGTGCCATTAAAACTGCCTCCATAAACAGTCAACTCTTGAGCCTTAGCCAACAAGTAGGCAGCCATACTTTTCTGATAAAGAAACACAGGGACAAACAGGGAAAGGTCGAGATCAGGGTAAAATTGGCAAGTAATAAAAGCAATTTAAAGGTAATTGGTGGGCGATGGGCTTGGGCCTGGACCAGCCGACGTTTTCCGTTACGAATCACTTTCGGACCCATCATTGCAAAAACTCAAATAAATATTTACAATAGCATTGACCAAAAACCAAGCAGTTGACGCGGATGGAACTTTGCTTTAATTCAAAGAAGCCCCCTTATAGTAACGGCGTTATGAGCTGTCGTTTTGCTATATATAACGCCCTCTCCGCCTCCCTTCCCCTTTATTCAACGTTATAACCCTCTCAGTTTTCAAGTTTCAACATCTTTTCCCTCTCATTATCTAATATCTCTCTCTCTCTCTCCCTCTCTCTCCCTCCTGAGTGAACATTTTAATGGTTGCGTAAATTTGAAGACTGGTATAAACGTCCGAGTGTTTTGGTGGAATTTAGTTGGTTTTTTTTATTTCATCACTGGTCCGAAATTCGAAATGGGGAAGAAAGATCACCACCCGAGAGATGAACAGAGCAAAGGAAATGCAAGAGTGGAAGCAGTTCTTCAGCTTCTGAGAAAACAAGCCCCACTCACAGTTAAACAGGTTTGGATTCTCACGTCAACTTTCAGATCTCCATTTTTAACTTCATGGGTTTTCTTAAAATTTCGATCTTAATTGGTTTTCTTATTTTTCAAACTTTAATTTAAATGTGTTTTGTCTGTTTTAATAATTTTTTATGGAATATAGGTCTCATTTTTTTGTTTTTGCAGGAGAAGTTTTGCAACACTGCTTGTGTGGAGAGGTTTTTGAAAGCAAAAGGAGATAGTGTTAAGAAGGCGGCCAAGCAACTTAGGGCTTGCCTTTCATGGAGACAGAATATTGGCACTGGTATGTAAAAACCCAGGTTTTCAATTTTCTTCTCTCTCTCTCTCTCTCTAGTTCTCTCTTTTTTTAAGTGCATATTGGTTTCTCTTTTTGTTTTGTGGTTAGCCAAAGAATCTTGCTTTTTCCACAACTTTGAATTAAACGTTAAAGTGCAAGCCCAACTCCGGCTAATGATTAATCTCACTTCTTTCCCTAATTTTTTTTTTTTTAATTTATTTTTTCGAACCACAAAAAAGGAGAAAAAAAATAAAGTTGAAATCTGTTTTGATTATTTTATTTTAATTTTTCATGTTTTTGAACACACAGAGAACTTGATAGCAGATGAGTTCTCAGCTGAGCTCGCTGAAGGTGTTGCCTACGTGTCTGGCCACGATGAAGAATCCAGGCCAGTTGTGGTAAATTACCATTTCACTCCTTTTTTTCCCCTTTTAATCTTTTGTTTTTGTATTTTTTAACCTCACATTTTTGTTCTTATTTTTTTTCACAGATTTTCAGGATTAAACAAGATTACCAGAAGTTCCATTCACAAAAACTGTGAGTAAACAAACTCCAGAAAAGCCTTTTTAATTAATATTTCCTTATTTTTTTTGAAATTATTTAATTCTTCATGCAAGCTTTTTTTATTTCTGAAATTAATTTTCCATTTTTGTAAATTTAAGGTTCACTCGCTTGTTGGTATTCACGCTGGAGGTGGCGATTCAGTCCATGCCAAAAAACGTAGAGCAGTTCGTCCTCCTTTTCGACGCAAGTAAGGACCCCTACTCCCAATTCCCAAACTTACCCTTCATAAATCCAACGAACACACCCTAATCCCGAAGGCCAATTTAGTCATTCAACATCATTCTACATTAGAAACTGCACGATATGGTTGGAACAGCGTAGTTAATGAGAGACCAGGCACGCGGCTATGTCGGAGAAGCTGAGATATCATCAGAAATTGTCCGGAATGCCCCTCAGGTGTCACGCTCTAACCCTCTTTAGCGGTCCAGGAATGTAGGGGCATTGTAGGGAATTGGAGTCCTTCCGAGAATTCGTCAATTCCAATACAGCTCGCTTTTGAATATTTTTGATCCTGCGGCAGAAGTACCCAGGATTCTACTTTTACGCCACCAGACACTAATCACTTTTTATTCTTTTAATCACTAATTAAAATATATGATTTTGAATTTAATTGTTGATTAAATTAAAACTTAATGGGATAAATTTGCAGGTTTTTTCAGGTCGGCTTCTGCTTTTATGAACTTGCTGGTGGCCGGACTGAAAATCGTGGCGGAGTACTACCCAAGACGGCTCTTCAAAGCGTTCGTAATTGACCCTCCTACAATGTTCTCATATCTTTGGAAGGTAAACAATTAATTAAATTTTCAAAAATCAAATTAACCTAACCTATATAAATTTAATTATCTAGCTCATTGGGTTGGTGGTATAAAAGTCCAATGTTACTGTATTTGTTTTGACAACTTGTGCATTCTGTGTGGTGCTGTTTGGGTACAGAACCAAAACGTACCTATAATTCTTATCCTTTTCAAGTTTAGGTCACATCCTTGTGCTGGGTTTCCCAGAATTCAAAAAAAAAAAAATACAAGTCAAGATAGCTATCATGAGCTCCTGATTGCTTGCTTGGATTCAAATTATGCCACAATTATTGCTTGTTTGCTTTCACAGAATATAATATAGCCATCAACAGTTTAAAACACTCATCCTATTTTAATACCTACGTATGTTTATTAATTGTTGAATTTAGTTTACCAGCTTAAACTGAGTTAATAATTATATATGTGTCGACGATAAGTGTTTATAAGTACTTAAAAAAATTATTTTAACATTGCTACTAGATCGAACTTTAGGTAAAGCAATATCACCATAACATTTATATACTTCAACGGGTAGCTTAAAGAATGGGATCTTAGACAGTCATGCGGTTAGCTGTTATGTTACATTTGGCTTCTAATTCTTTTCCATGCGTTACCATTAATGTGTGTCATTGTTCAATTTTTGGAGTGACCAAGTTTGTATTTAAATTTTTACTAGTTAATTTATATGACAACAAGGTAAAACTCAAAAAAAAGGTGAATGTCTTTAGTGTGACCGTTCTTGTTTAATTGGATTGTACTTTGTAGGGTGTTCGACCGTTTGTTGAGCTATCAACGGCTACGATGATTGTATCATCTCTAGACTTTGAGGAGTCGTTGGATTTCAGTGACTTCTCAAATTACCCGCGAGCCTCGTCCCTCCGATTCGACCCCGCCTCAATCAAATCAACGGCCAAGGTCGGCTCTTGCTCATCCTCTCGTTTCTCCTTCACTGTCGCTCAGCATCAGTTCGACTCTCTCAAGCCTTGGTACCTCAGCCTCACAGACACGTCCGCATCCAAAGTAGGTCCCACCACACCCTCCCCGCTGGGACCCGCGCTCATCTCTCCGCTAAACGCCCGGTCCTTCTCCTTCGCATCCCCCGCCGCCAGAACACCACGTGGAACAATCCACGGCTATGGCAACTCCGCTGCCATGAGAAAAAGCCTGTTCCCGTCGACCCCACTACCCCAACGGTGCTCCGGCAGCGAGCCCAGCAGAACCCCTCACCACAACCAGCCACCGCGGACCCCACGCCCCTCGTTCCTCCAATCGCCGGCCACGTTCTTCCGCAGGGAGAGCCACGCCAGCAGGACGGAGAAGTCCCGGGAGTCCTTCGCGCCGTTCTTGAAGTTCTACAGGAGGCCGTACGACGAGATGATCTACAGGTCAAAGATGCGGCCCCCACTGGGCGGACTCATCTCCATCGTCTCTCCCCACATCAGACGCCGCCACGTGTCCGTATCACAACGGTTCTGAACCCAAAGAAAGGGCAGAGAAGTACATAGATTTTATTAAATTAACAAGGAGTCTCCTTTGACGCGATCAGTAATAATTGATTAATTATTTCTCAAAGGAAAGAAATTCTCATCGGATCTCTTTCACTAAATCTACCTATCACTTAATTCGGATCTTTGAAATTTGATCAAATGGCTAAAGTTTATAACTTTTAAATAGGTCCTTTACTTTTAGCCGTTTGATATAATTTTAAGAGCTCGGATTGATTGATTGGGTAGATTTGGTGAAAGGAATCCGGAGATAATTCTTTCACAAAGTCCAACTCTCCTCGTGCATTAAAGTACTGAGACGACGACGTACTAGGCAAGCTGTGAGAGATTGTGCACCACTGTCTAATTTTGAAATGTGTAGGGGTTCTAATTCTAATTTTTCACAAAGTCTTAAGTTTTTAGGGTTTCGAAGGGCAACAAAGCTTGGGAACAAGATAGCGTGGTCGACACGGTGAAAACTGCATTGGAACCCATATGCTGTAAAACAAGGAAGAAAAAAAGAAGAAGCCATCAAGTGATTAGGAACAAAAAAAAAGCCTTTGTTTATTTCAATTCAAACTTTGATATATATAAATGTATTTATATATTTGATCTTTTGCTGTTGTGGAATCTTTTGGGTGTTGAATTTTGAATTTTGTTTTGGAGTCTTGTTCTTGTATGATTTGGTAATTAATATTTATATGTTTTTTGTTTTTGTTTTTGGGGTCTCAAACTCTTTATATTATATTTAACGTGAGCAGAAATGTTAGGAATATGTGTCGGGTTTTGTTGTTTAAGAAGTCAAAGTGCGGTGGCTACATGCCTACATTTGTTTTTATTTTCATTTCAAGCAAAGTCGTATACTTTTTGATAGTATATCTGTATGCAAGTGGTGATGTGAGTGTGCAGGGAGTGAGTGGAGTTCTGCGAATGTAAATAGATTTTGTAAACAGGGTGGTTTTGATATATTGTATGTACATGCATATTTGGGTTGGGGGTGCGGTTTTGTCGAGTACCAATTGTCCTCAGGAGGTACCGGCGTTCGATTCCACAGGAGATGACGTTAAAGTATCGGAGTCCATCTGTTTGGAACTTATATGCCTTTTTCCAGCGCACTGTATTTTACTGAGATCGGTTTCCACTGTTGAGATTTGCAGGTCGATTCACACTTGATTTCGTATGGATTTACTGCTACAGAATATAAACTAGAGGAGTTAGTTTTGGTGAATTGTTTTCTGAAATTTTTTAGGAGCTGACATCTGGCAATCATCGTTTATATGTTTGAACTGATTATATGAAGACAAATTGGTACTGCTACTGTTGAAGGTTTAGAGTTTAGTCCATGCAGTTTTTTGGAGTTCGATTTGTGAGTATTTTGGATGAACGTGGACAGACTTGTCATATGCAGTACTTAACACTCACTTTCTTTAGGGCAATTTGAGTTTAAATATTAAGTGCTGCAGTTTTTTTTATTCAAACTATATCTACTCTTAATTAATCTAAACTCTAAGAGGGAGAGTCGAAATTAGGTGCAATGAAGGAGAACATTGTTAAGCAACTTGGCTAAATCCAACAAATTGTAGTTTTTAGTGAAGATGCGACCTAATCTAAAATGTTTGTGACTTAACAAAAGTAATCGGTAAAACTAAGTAGTTCAAGCGAGAAGAAAAACATCTGCTTTGTCTGAAAAGTACAAATGGTAGTACTTAATATGAACTTTGCCATGCAGAGTGGAGCGATTACACAACAGTAATTAAGATTGATGTGCTCTCTCTATCCACACAAATTCGATCTCTCCTATATTAGTCAAAAGTAGAAACCTTTGATCTTAACTCAATCAACCTTTCAAATTTAAGAATATATCAATCATACTATTCTAATTTGTAGTTAATGGACTTTCCTATTACACTAATGCATCCAAACCAAACAAAAATTGCAAACTAAAGCCATTACATATACAACTGGCAACGATTTTCTCAAATTTTTTATATTTGAAATAGGTAAACGCATCTTCAGACTTAGCACTGCAGTTTCTATTTTGCATTTATGAGGATTTAGACTGTGCATGGCAATTGTACATCATTGTAGTTAAATTAGTCACATATTATATCGAATTTCAGTGTTGCTATTGACTACCTTATTTATTTTTCTCATTTTGACTTGAACATATATTGCATCAAGTTAACTGCTTATGGCTTAGAGTTCAGCTCCTAGATTGTGGGTGGAGTCCAAAACCTGAGACATATAAGCCATAAGCTTTCACCACAGCTACAAAATGTTTAGCAACAGCTCCTTTTAGCAACGATTGAATAATCATAAGAGATACCTAAAAAAAAGCGTGTCATAAGAGATATCCCAGATATATCAAGAACTCCTTTTAGCAATGATTGAATAATCATAACAACTTATAAATTGCGTGAGTGATTCGTGGTGTGAGAGCTAAAAGCCCACTAGTTTAGTGTGAGAGAGATGTCGTTGATGGTTGCTGGTTTTGAAGTGGCTAATTAGGGTTTCTAATGGGGTGGTAATTTTGAAGGGTAAGGGAGTCTTATGGCAAGGATAAGAATGAAGGAAAGGCTAAAGCGCATGAATTAGGGTTTTTGAACACTTAGAGATTGCTTGCTGTGCATGTTGCATACTGCATTCCAAGCGTATGTGCTGATGGCTTGAATTTATAGGTACATGAATCCTCAAAATCCCAGCTGGAGAATCCCTTAGGTTTCTCTCCTCGTCTTGGTTTGTTAAGTCGTTCTTTCTCTTTTCCGTTGTTGAAGCCACATCATGCCTCTTTGGGATAGTACTGTAGAAGGCTAAGTTTATCATTTTGCCCAAAATCTCCTTTTGCCTTGCACCAAATCCCGCTCCATCTTTGGCTACCTTCTCCATTTTCTTCCTTGATTTCCTGCGCGAGCTTCAAATGGTAAAGTTCTTCCACCACGTTAAAATGAGGTGTGCGGCCCAAGGTTAGACTCTGTCAACCCATAAATCTAGGCAAACTGGTTGTGTGAAGCATTTTGGTTAGTTTGTAAGGAAACGGGTTGGGATATCTCTCATGACCTCCCGTGTGAAACTAGAGTTGTGGTCCTTGATTTTGGTTCTCCCAAGTAGCCCAAAATCTCCACAAGCTGGAATCCCACGTAGGCCCAATGGACTTTTCGTAACCGTTCACGCCACAACCCGCTCTGCAATCTTCATTATGTGGCTTGGCCCACTTAAGCATGTTGGGTGAAGAGCAGGTTGGTGTGTTTCGAATTAAACTGTTAATGTATTAATATTATAAACTTATTTCAATTTGGCTTGGCATGATCAATACACATGGTTTTGCATGGGCTTACTATGAGTTTTTTCGAATATCCGAATTATGAATTATCATTTCTTTTGGCGTGGCATGAATGTGAATTTGCGTACTCCTCATTTTGCACTCTACTCATGAATTTGAGCTTGGTTTGCTACGAATATATAATGACTAAGCTTCCAAATATAATTGGGCTTTTTAGTGAAATTTTTGGGTTTCCTGCGACATTGCGTTGTTGTTTCCCAAGTCTCAAGTTTCTTCATGTTATTGCAGATCTTGTATTAGGTGATACCTCATTGGAAAAGCTTTTCTGTAACTCCCTTGTTCTTGAAGATTTGGATATACATCCATTTTTCAGAAGAGATGCAATGAATTTCAAAATATTTGCTCCTGAATCAAAGACTTTAAGAACAACTGTGAAAGATACAGAGTTGTCAAACAATTTATTTGTCAATGCCCCAAATCTTGAAAAACTTTGTGTCATGGGGTTTGCATCGTCAAATTACTTTCTGGAGAATCCGAAAGCTTTAGTCAAGACTCAAGATCAAACTTGTTATCGGTGATTAAATAGACAATGCAATTCCTGCCTACGCCGACCGTGTTACTGCATTCTCGGCATAATTTCCAGTTTAGGCATGTCTCTTGTTAATTTTTCGGGAGCTAGAACTTGGTCTGGGGTTTGCTCTATGCTTGCTTCCAGAAACATGAAGCGATTGAAGCTAACTTTTTATGAGGTACAGCGGGAAGTCCTAGTTGAGTTTCTTGACAAGTCACCTAATGTCGAACATCTCGTGTTAAAGTTGGAAGACTCGGCGGATAGTTCAAGCCCTTCAATCCACTAGAGTTTTTGCCTGTTTGTTTGTCCTCGCAACTGAACACCAGCTCTGTGAAGGGATTAAATGGACTACAGGGTGCAATGGAAGTGGTAAAGTATTTCTTAAAGTACAGTGAAGTTCTGAAGAAGATGAGCATTTCTACTTGGTGGTGCTTCTGCGGTTAGGGTTTTTTCTATGCAGTTTTTTTAAGTTTAAATGCGATTTCTTTTGTTTTTATGAGTGAACTTTTCATGGATGTTGAGAAAATGATCTTTTGGTTAATGCACTCGGTTCACTAACCAAGTTAACTCTATGCATATGAGAACGTTAAATGTTTTGCCGCATTTCATTGGAAAGACATTCCTACTTACCTGTCTGTCAAATTAATTTGATACACATGCAAAGATTTCTTTTTCTTTTTATTTTTTTTTCGCTTTTGTTGACAAAAATGTTGTTCTTACCACATTTTTATAACAAATTGTTTCACCTTTCTAATAGAGATGAAATCTATAGGTGTCAATGAGTCTACCTCTATTAGAAAAATAATACCGATATGGTCTTTAAGACGTGGTTTTACACTTGGTCTTTTATTAAGCATTTTTGGGTACTTGCCCGTTGGTGATTTGCAGGACAGAGGAAAATATGTCTCGACACGCAGTACTCTGCAACTGGTAAATCATAAGGCAATACTTTTGGTGCCATCTAAATCACTTACAAAATAGAAAATATTAATCTGATAATTTATCAAACCATTTGAGCAGAAGCTGCTCAATTTTATTTTATTACACCAAATCCACACACAGTAAAGTATGCATACAAAAATATAGTATCAGCTTTACATTTCACCAGTTAACGCTAAAACATGACTCTCTGCATTCGTGTTAAGTAGTGACTATATCTTCTACACTGTAACCAAGTCGAGAGTAGAACCATAAGTTCTGTGTAGGGCTTGGGCACACCAGCCGTGACCATCATCAACTGTTGGCATCCTCACTCCCATGACTGGATTTACCGGCTGATGAGACCCCGGCATTAAAACCCCCGATAAAACTCTCAGCACGCTCGATGCATCGATGTCCAGAATTATTCTTATTTCCGGAACTCCTTTCGGGGATGGTGGAATTCCAGTGATCTTGAAATACCCCAGCAAATGGTTCTCTTCCACCTTCTTCCCCTCACCTTCGTGGACGATTATTAGTGCTTCAGTTTGATTATCATGGGCAGTTGTGAAAATCATATCTTTTTGTGCTGGCATTGCTGTGTTTCTAGGTATGATAGGCACAAAGTTGTTTCCATCAGCTCGAATCCCAATGGCGAGAGGGGTGGCTTGAATGGTAAGCAAGTCCAAACTACCAAAGGGATCGCTAAGACCTGATGCCACCGCTCCTTCTAGTGCCGCTCCAGTGACAGCAGCTTCCAACTGGTTCATCCCTTTGTACAGCTCCTCCTTTTTACAAATGCTCATGACAAGACTTCTTATCTTTGGAATATATGAGCATCCACCAACAACTATTACATCGCTCACATCCTCGGTATCAACCTTTGCATCGTGCAAGCACTGGCTTATGAGGCTCGCACACTTATCAAACACTGCTCGGTTAACTTCCTCAAATTCCTCACGATCCACAACCTTACATATATTTGTTCCATTTCCCAAGTCAACATCAATCTGGACACTTGTTTGGGAGGAGAGATTGTGGATTGCTTCCTGTGTTGCAACTCGAAGAATGCCCGCTGATTTTATGTCATCAAGTCCGTGGCTAGTTAAAAGAGTCTCGGAATCTGGCAACAGATAACGCATCATATTCTGAAGCAAGTCTTCCCCTCCAATGGCAGATCCTGCTAAGGCTTTTATTTGGGAAACTCCTCCAGCTGTAGCAGTAACAGCTACATCGCAGTATCCAGCACCCATGTTGAAGATTAGAGCAATCTTCTCAGATCCGGTGCTTACATTCTGATTTGAAATCTTTTGTGCATATAACAGTGCGATGGCAGTTGGTTCAGGCATCAGTCTGAGTACATGAAGGCTAGCCATGGCACAAGCTCTTTCAATACGAGTAAGCTGGAATCGGCTGAATGAAGCTGGAATAGTCAGAACAACATTTTTTATGGGTCGCTTTAGCTCGATTTCTGCCATTGCCTTGAGTTCCACCAAGAATATTGCCAAAACTTCTTCAGGAGTGGTGGATCTCCATACATTGTTCACCAAGGCTGCGATCAGTGGGCGCACCCCAATGCCCAATGTTTGTACTAAAAAGGGGAGGCTTTTGCTTGACTGGACAACTGGATCAGTGTCAACCCTGCCAATTAATCGTTTCATGTTGAAAATTGAAGCTCCAGATAACATCTCGTGCTCACTGGAGAGTTGATAGCTTACTCCTCCTGAAGGGTTTTCGTTCTTGAATGTGACATACGACCGCATCATCTTCTGGTTTCTACTGTTCCTAAGGAGCTCAACCTGGGAGCCATTCCAGACTGCAACACTGCAATGTGAAGTGCCAATGTCAATCCCAATAGCGGTTTCAGGAAAAGGAGAAGACGATTTTTCCTCTCCAGTGGTTTCACTATCAGATGCCACTGTGTATGCTGGCTCAGCCATCCCTGCATTTCAAAAATTGCAAATGGATGAAGAGAAGGTGATGAAAACTAAGAGATGAGAAGAAAAGACAGAAAGAAAAAAAAGATTAAAGTCCTTCCTAAATGAGGAAACATTTGTATGTGGTTGGAACCACTTAAAAAATGCAATTCAAGTTCTACTTCCCCCCAGATTGTGCTGCCCAATCATCCATTTGAACTAGTTTACCCCAAGCAACGCCTACAAATCTCGTGGTTTCATGTACAATCACAATCTCTGCTATCTACCAAACTCTATCTTCCTATATTAGCATTCTCGATCCTTTTTTTTTACGATTTAACACGGCGAAAAAAAAAATTGATTCTGTTTTTCCATTTGAGCATGTGTTGAGTTAATTCCTAGTTGGAACATGTTCTGAAAGTTACACTCAAAAAATGAAAAACTAGAGAAACCAACAAATCTAAGCTGGCAACATCAAATCCTAAAAGACCTGCTGATACGTCTTGGCTTTTGCAGTATACAGACAGAATTGGGAAAATATAGTTCAAGCAGGCCTTCTCACAAACACCTCTTAGGCAACTTACCCATCTCACATTTGTTGGTAGAAACATGAAAGTAAAATAAAAAAAAAACCACAACCCCACATATTTTACTTGAAACCCCAACAAAATAGGTCAAAACTTGGCAAGAAAACAAAAATTTTGAACAATAAAGATAGAAACCAGAGAGAAGAGCCTCTTCCAATTTCCAGAAAGCAAAAACAAGTTGTTGGGTGGTAATAAAAGTTGTTTTAAGTCAATACAAAACAGAAAAAACAAGTGCATGCATTGCTACTTACAGGTACACAGAGAGAGACATAGCTAGCTAGCATGGCTATTAATTAAGGAAAATAAAATGAAGCTAATTGTGTACAGAGGAAGTAAGGGACTTACAGTAGAGTGAAAGATAGAAGAGCACCAACGATCAGTGAGGGATTACAGCAGAAACAAGGACCGCTTCGGCTCACAATTTAGAGAGAGAGAGACAGAGAGAGAGAGAGAGAGAGAGAGCAACTTCTAGAGCTTCCTAGAGTTGAAAGGTGGTCGTTTGAAATTGTGTAATGGAGAGGTTAGGAAGTGAGAATAGTGTGTGTATTACGAGGAAGAGTCCAGAGCTTCTGCAACGTTACATGGGTTGGGATCGCCGACCAATTTTGGGATCAGCTTTTCAGCCCAAGCCCAACCCTAGAGATAAGCAGTTTTAAACAAGAAAAGCAGAACTCCTATACACAGTACCATTCAAGTGCGAGCTCGTTTGAAATTGTTTTTAAAATAACTAAATAAAGTACTTTTACAAAAAATATTTTTGAGTTTCAAGAAGCACTAATTATGTGCTTTTTACAAGAAGAACGGTAGGTGTTTTTCCAAGATTTACTTGTATTTTTGCTAAGGTTGGTACAAAAAACATTTTCACCAAAAAAGCTTTTAGTCATTTTAAAAACATTTCTAAATGAGTCATCGGTTAAAAAGTTAATCACTAATTAACCATTTTGAAAAGAAATACGTTTAATACTTCATTCATCCTCTAGGGTTTACAATTTATAGGCACACATGCCTTATTCTACAAGGAAAATAGTTACAAAAAATAGGGAAACTAAATCCTAAAGACTACATCCAATTACCAAGCCTAATCCTACTAAATATAGGACTCCTAGAATATCTAAAATAACGTCAACACTCCCCCTCCAGTTGGTGGATATATATCATACATGCTTAACTCGATAGTGGGTCTTGAAGATTGGTAGACACAATCTTCCTTTCAAGATTCCTTGGTAGGTTCTTGTCGAACTGGGTTGTACTATTCTATTAGACTGATCTCCACAACGGGCTGTTTGTTTAGTTGGAATATTACATCCTCACTTTTTCCTCCTAGCTAAAGTGCAATCTAACTAATGTAGATCATCCAAGTCATTAATCTTTCCCTGATGATTAGAGTTGGATAGAGACGAATTATAAAACCATTCAAACTGGGAAGACGTAATATCCACTGTAACATACATACGTCGAGTGGCGGAGTGATAACACATGAATCCCTACTGTTGAGTTGTGAAACCCAAAAAAAAAAAAAAAAAAAAAAAAATACCGAAATGCACACAAATCAAGCTTACTATTATGAACTTTTTGAATGTGAACATAAACCACACAATCAAAAACCCGAGATGACAAAGTATTTGTAGAAACTACTGGAACATATTGAGTAAACTCCTGAAGTGGTGTTCGAAAATTCAAGACCCGAAAGGGCATACGGTTTATAAAATAAACTGCATATACAACTGTTTCAAGCTAGAAGCGTTTGAGAGCAGATGCACCAGTAAGCAAACCATGTGTTGTCTCCAGGATATGATGGTTCTTTAGATATCTTGAGCAGATGCACCAGTAAGCAAAGCCTAACAACTCTAGCCAAATACTAACAAATTTGCTAACTGTATTGCTAATTGTATTTTTAAATGTATTGCTGACTTGTACCCTTAATACTCCGCCTCAATCTCAACTGGAGAAACCCAGTTTAAGATTGGAGGAGCATCTGCAATCACTACTATGAAACCAGAAAATAGAACATAGTTGAACCATTTGCAATCTTGTAATCCATATGGATGATTGAATTCATCCACCTCAGATTTATTCCATGTCATAATATCTTCATGTACATCACCTTGTTCCGTATGAAAACCATTCCCATCTGTGTTATAGAGCATATGAAAATTATCATCCGTGCCAACATCAATCAAATTTTGCACAATTTCCAAAACCTCTGTCTCTTGTTGATCTTTCCAGATTTTGCATAGTTCTGACTCTAACCAGTGTATCGAAATCATGACATCTTTCCTCTGCCTTTAACAAGAGCTTCACAAAGAACAACCTTCTATAAAGTAGTCATAGCACACCCTCATGTCGGTATAACAACTTCTTATGGGATTACCCTTCGTGAGATTTACTGTCAACAATCTCATTCAATATTGGCTTCCGCCTTTAAAACATAAACTTAACAAACTATAGTGTGACATCGACCTTAACTATAGTACCACGAGATTGCCCTTTATGGATTTTACCAAAAAAAAACTACTCTTAACAATGGCATCGGCCTTCACAATTTCACCAACAAAAAATCAACATCTATGTAAGATTATCCTTCATGGGATTTACCTACTCACATCACGGAATTACCCTCTGTGGGATTTACCGTTAATAACTTCTTCTACCTTTCGTGGGATTTACCTACTCACATCATGGGATTACCCTTCGTGGCATTTACCATTAACAACTTCTTCAAACTTTATCGTATAATCGAACTTACAATAGATACATGCTAACAACTGAGCTGGTTAAACTCGACATTATAGGCTGAGGCAAGGAACTCAAATATTGCTGAAGTATCTATCAATGTATGATAATCGATGCCTTCGCTACTTTGCAACAACCACTTTTACTAGAATTTGGGCCAAGTTATTAGCTAGGGACATGAAAATAACCAACAATACAGGGCAATGCATTCCATTCTTTAACTATAATTGAAGTTCATTCCATGTCAAAGCTACTTTTCCATCTAAATCAGTGCTCCTTAACTATTGGCATCATGCCTTAATCCCAATTTCAATTCTTTTCCAACATTAATCAAGAAAATGATCACTTGCCCAAGAAATTGAAGAACAAGAAGAATAATAGTATATACCAGAACTCCTAATCACAAAAATTTATTTATGTCCTTACTGTACTTTTTCTCATTCCACAACAAGTTTGAGAATGGTGCTTACCCAACTTTAAATAGACAACTTTGTGCCAAACTCTAATTGACATAATCAAGAAATATGTCACACTACTTTGCCAAGAAAAACTCATTTCAATGAAGTGAAAACCAAGATAGAAAATAAGTAGCAAAACATCAAAGATGCAGAACCCAGAGAGAATAGAGAACTATTTTGTTTGGGTCAATTAGTCAAACATGTGGATTGCAAAATCTCATCCTTCATGAATCGGCAATACAAGACATAACCTTGAACCAGTAGCAGAATCGTAATCCTTAACAACCACCAAAAACTTGAAAACCCAGAAAAGATGATTAGAAGTGAGATGATTACGTGCCTTAGTGTGGATGAAGCCAATTGATTCACACATCATATAAGTAATTGTAGCAACTAGCAAGAAATCATTCTAATTCTTCAAAGAAATAAGAGAAAGTGACAGGAAACATAACCTTCACAAAAAATCTTGAGCTGAGCATTTCGTCAAACACTTGGACTGCATAAAGTTCATAAATTGATGACCGGATGTGAATCATAACACCGACCATATTCGGAGCTAAACCCATTTCCTGAGCAAAACCCAAATTGTAGACCACCATCATGAGCCTCCAAGATGTAGGCATTCCTCCTACCAACAGGAGATGAAGAACTTGATGAAAATCTAAAAAGAATTCAAAATTCAAGAACCAAGATATTCAAGAACCTAAAATTCCCGCTTCTATTTGACGATTGCGGAAGCATTGAAGAACTTAACGGAAGATAAATAAAACTAGAAGACGATGAAAAACTAATGATGCGGAACCATCAAAATCCATGGCGTGAGACTGGTGGCTTTGATACCATGTTAACTACATTGAAATATTTGAGAATCGAAAAGAAAATGGAGCAGAAAGAGTAACTAAGAAAGATGAACTACAGAGAATTTAGAGAGAGAAATATGAGACTTGTATATTGACTTAAAAGAATAAAGATTACACACTCTGTTTTTATACTAGAAAGCCTAACAACTCTAACCAAATACTAACAAACTTGCTAACTATATTGATGACTCGTACCCTTAATATTAAAATGTTAGATTGCTAAAAAAAGCAACATAATTTACCCAATATATGTAAAATAAATGTGAAAATTTACCTACATAATAAAACAAACCCAATATATGCAAAATACATGCAAAATAATTTACCTACATGATAAAGCAAACCTAACACATGCAAAATAATTTACCTACATAATAAAACAATATTATTTTATACAATACTAATTTACCTATTATTTGTACATTATAATAATAAAATGTGCCCAATATAAATATGATATTGATACATACAAAATAAAATACCTAGATAATAAAGGAATAATATTCATTTACTTACAAAACAAAGCAAGGAGAGAAAAGAGAGAGATGTGTTTGTAGAATTGTATGGACGAATGTGTGTGTTATTCCCTCCTACATAGTGCCTTTATTTATAGTAATAAGAGAGAGAAGAAATCCTTCATCCCCAAGGAATACAAGTTCATATTGGAAAAAATAACTAGAATCAAATCTAATCTAGGATTTACACAATCACACTTAAACTAGGAAAGTTTACAACACTCCCCTTTGAGTGTGTAAATACTCAAGGTAGATTCAGCATCATGTAGAAGTTGAGGAAGTCGACTTGTCGACATTGATTATGGGAACAATGCTATTCTGAATAAGGTAGGAACTTGTATAAAGAAGTAAGTCCCACTAAAAAAACCCTATGGCTATGGTAAAAACCTAAGTAGGGACAAAACGCATAGTCTAAGGAAAAATGCGTGAGTAATGCAAAGTCAAATGAAACGTCTATGGGACGTCATCAGGGATATGATCAACCTAAGGTGAGTGCCTCGTTAAAACCTAGTTAGGTAGCAAAAATTCAGTGGGAAAAATGCTCATAATCATAAGGAAAAAGAGTACATTAAGATCAAGCAACTATACTTCAGGATACTCCCCCTGAGTTTGACATAATTCCAAAGAGAACTAGCAATGTTACAACTTTGAAAGTTTACGCATACCAATTCCTTGAACAAACTTCTAAAATGTTGTCTTCAATAATGATTTGGTGAAGAGGTCGGCCATATTGTCTTGTGAATGGATTTGCGTGACTTTAATCTTCTGATGTTCTTGTTGTTGATGTGAGAAGAAGAACTTTGACGCAATGTGCGTGGTGGTGTCTCCTTTGATGTAACCTTCTTGAGCTGTTCGATGCATGTTGCGTTGTCTTCATAGATCATCGTCAGGACATCCACGATGGGGTAAAGATCGTAGGAGCTTTGAATATGGCCTATAACTGCTCTCAACCAAAAGTATTCCTGAGTTGCTTCA